GCTTTTCTGGGCGTTTTCGGTGGCTGTTGACGAAGTTCCGGTTGATTAGCGGTGACCCACGACTCTTAGCACTTAGTATTGGTGGCCCGTGCTCCTTGGGTAGTGGCCAGCAACGTTGGAGGTGGTTTTCGGATGACTTTTCCTGCTGTAAAAACGCAAACAGCTTAGATTTCTGCGTTCGACAACTACCCACGCCTATCCGAAACAGATCTAAGTCATTTACACCTAAACAAAGTCGATCTCGTGGTAACGAACTTTCGAAACCCCCTTGGAATGTTTTTCCCATAGCTGAAAATTGGAAATGACTTGTTGTTCTTCTTGTTTTATGGTATAGGTGTTGACAACACGCAAGGACTAGGAGCGTGGTAGTGAGTAAGTAGTAATAGGGGCGGGTGTGTGCGTTTATGAACTGTTGGAAATGTCTTTTGGTTATTGGATTATCTAAAATGCATATTTCATGTCGTTATGAATGTTATGAAATTGGCCATTCGTGCTAGAATTACATTGTGGGAGTAGGTTGAATGAAATTGTTTAGTTTTCTTTTGTCAGAATAGTTACCTGTTGAAAGGGTCTATTTAAAGGCGGTGCGAGTTATATCTATTCTTATTCCTTTGTGTAAAGCATGTTGAAAATGTCTGCGAGTGTTGTTATTTATCTTACAAGAGCCATTACGTGTGCGTTTTCCTATGATGTGAGCATGCTGCTGGTTGTTAAATGTTATGTTATGCGATTTTTATGAGTTAAAATCATACAGGACAACGGGTTGTGCTAAGACATCCTAATAAGTGTAATTAGGAAGTTAGTACTGGAAATCTTGGTTGGAGACGAGGGGTGGAGTGGGATGTTATGAAAGAAGAAACCGTGAGTGTCAGGGCCCCGGGTGCAAAGGTCGGGGACTGATATGGTACTACTGGGTGTCGAGGCTCTAGGTACAAAGGTTGGGGGTCGATACACCAGTCTTAGTATGGGCGAATGTCGAGGCCCCGAGTACAAAGGTTGGGGGTCGATACACCAGTCTTAGTATGGACGAATGTCGAGGCCTCGGGTACAAAGGTCGGGGGTCGGCATGAAGAAACAAATCATTGGATCAGCACTGCTAGTTAGGTGTCGGCTTTCCAGGTACAAAGGCCGGGGGTCGATACGCCAACTTAGTTAGAATGGGTTTCGAGGCTCCGGGTACAAAGGTCGGAGATCGATACGTGAAAATGAGCGTCGAAGCCTTGCGTACAAAGGTCAAGGGTCGAATGCCAAGTTATGTAAATGAGTATCGAGACCTTGGGTACAAAGGTCAAGGATCGATACTAAGCGAAATGTGGTGACGAAGTTAGAAGGTGTTTGAGAATAGTCAAACACCTATGGGCTAAGAGATGTGAGTTGTGATAGTTTAACACTCGTTGTATGTAACCTTTACCACTTGTTGATTGCTTGAAATTCCAGTCAATATGCATTTCGAATATCATGTGATAGTATGCTGGTGTTGTGTAGTTAGTGAGGGTTACTTATGGAGTATTTTATATACTCACCCCCTATGCAATTATTATTTTCAAGTAAGGATCAAGGTTATGATCATGGTGGTGACGTGGAGAGGGCTCAACTGAGGAAGGACCATTAGACTGCGTTTTTTTTTATTTGTTATTTTTCCTTATACTGTCAGGATAGTAGAATTCCTTTTGTTTTGGACATTCTAGTAGAGCGATGTTTAGGTGTGGTCTCGGTGGCATTGTTTGATGTGTCTGGACATTTTATTGCTTTTGAGTTGATGTTTTTCTCTTGATTATTTAGTAAGTTACGAGTATTGGCTATTGAATAAGCAAGATTTTATGTTTTGTTAGCCCACGAAGGGCGAGTTGACTTCTTTGATTATTGGACTTTTGAACTTTTTAAGACCATGTTGGCTTTCATTGTGTGTTAAGGAGGGTCGGTGCATGTAGTTGGGTAAAGTTACACTGAGTGTACAGTAGAAATTCAGGGGCGTTACAGTAAAATTCTAGAAATACTGTATGAATATGTAAATGTTTTTATTATGTTGTTGTTCAAAGAAGAAAAGTGGGGCAAAATAATCTTGTATATATTGAGAGAGAAGATATCTCACAGTGAAAACGAAAAAGAAAAAGAGAGAGGACGAACAATTATAGGAAGAGAGAGAAAAATATAGAAGAGAGCGAGACCAAGAGGGAAGAGAATGAAAAGGAGAGAAGAAAATAAAAATAAAAAAATTGGACGGGAGGAAATAGGGAAATTGGGTTGAATAGGCATTTTAAAAAGACAGTATTGTTTTTTGAATCACTCTTCAGAAAAGTCATGCTTTCTAGGCATTTGCTGATATCACTTGCTACCAAATTATTTTTACTATCCTCCACTCATTTTTTAGATTTCTCTCTTACTTCCTCATTTCCCCTCTCTCCTCTGAAAATTTCTTTTTATTCTCTCCCTCCTCCAATATTTTTTCTTTTCTTACTCTCTCATTCCCCCTCTCTCCTCCTTCCTTAAAATTATTTTTTTTATTCTCTCCCTCCTTCAATATTTTCTCTCTCTTCTCCATTCTCATCTCGTTCTCTCCTTCTATCTTGTAGTTGTTTTGTTCTCCGTCCCTTTGTTCCTACATTTCAAACCAAGAGATATGCGTTCTTTTTGTTTCAATCTTTAGCCGCAATGTTGGATGAAAAGCAAAATTTTCTTTTCCTAGCTCATTCTTTTTTTTTTTGTTATACTTTGATGGGCATTCCTTTGGAGATGTGTGTTCGATTTTGCCTATTTTCTCACATTTGAATCATTTTGATTTGAATTTTGATGGTCCATTAGAAGATTTCAAGTGAAACCTGGAATTTGAAGACCTTCTCACCAGCCCTTCATTTCAGATCGAGAGCGAAAGGACAGAGAACAAAAATCCCTTTATTCGTTTTTGGGATCTACCATTTGGCTATAGTGATCGAGAGCGAGAACGAAAACCAAGAGGAGAGCGAGAGCGAGAATCAATAGTTGATCAAGAGCGAGAATCAAGAATTGATCGAGAGCGAGAGTCAAGAGTCAAGAGTTGACTGAGAACGAGAATTAGAATTTTTTATTCATTTTTTATTTTTTTAGTAAAACCGAGAACAAGAGATCGATGGAGTTTTATTATTATTTTTTATTACTTTCGCATGTACTCTATAATTTAAAATATATATATTAAAAATTTTAAATTTTAAGCTTGAATTCGAAAGATTGGGTTCTTAAAAAAAAATCCCATAGATTGGGGAGAAATTTAGATGTTTTCTTTTTCACGATCACTAATTAAATCTCGATCTCTCCTACAATCTCAATGATATTAGTGACAAATCATAATTAAATTTAAAATTTAATCCAATTAAATTAAAAATGACTTATTAAATTAAGTGTGAAAGGAAAAATAATTATTTAATTTTTAAAATTGGATGAGATAAAAATAATAAGTAAAAATGAAAAATGCGAGATTGAAATATTCTAAGGAAAAACGTATCCCATTTTTTTCTCAGAATTCGAGTGAGAGGGAGAGAATTAAGGAATGTAATTGAAGGAGAGCGACAAAGATTCTATTTATAATATAAATTAAATTTTACTATTAATTATTAAAATTATAGAAATACATGTAAAAAGAAACTCTCACTCAACTCTCTCGCTCACCATCTCTCACTCATCTCTCGCTCATCCCTGTCTTGCTCATGGAGGGAGAGATCGTGGGAAAGATTCTACTTTCTAATCTAAATTAAATTTTATTATTAGTTATTAAAAATTATAGAATACATGTAAAAAAAACTCTTGCTCAATTCTCGCTCAACTCCCTTCTCTCTCTCATCAGATAGATTGTGGGAAATATTCTACTTTTTAATCTAAATTAAATATTTAATAAATTTTATTATTAATTATTAAAAATTAGATAATACGCGTAAAAAAACTCTCGCTCACTCATCTCTCGCTCAACTCTCTCTCTCTTGCTCAACTCTCTCTCTATCTCCTTCCCCATCCTCCTCTCCATCGTAAGTCGAACTTCCTTCCTTCCCTGAACCTCTTTCTTTCTTCAGCAAACGACCTCCCTCGTCGACTTTGATGCATCCGTCGCCAGCGATTGTTGAAGGTCACAGGAATCATGGAGTTTGTTGGTTAAAACAAACAAAGAATGAGTTTTTTTTAGAGTAATTTGCTTTTTGTGGTGAGTAAAGAAGAAAGATAATAATAGTAATTAGAAAAAAGAAAGAAAGAGGGAAGAATGAAAAGAGAACCCCAAAGAAAAATTTAAGGAGAACGAGAGAAAAAAATTCAACAGAAGAGAGAAAGAGAGAAGAATGAAAAAGGATAAGAAAACAAGGAAGAGGAAAGAAAAAAAAATCTCGAAAAAGAGGGAGATGAGGTAGCGAGAGGAAATAAGGAGCATTTGGTGTCTAAGTGATGTCAGCCAAAGTCTAGAAAACATCGGTTTTGAAAAGGGTAACTAAAAAACAATACTACCTCGGTAAAAGACTTATTCAACCCAAAATCCTGAAGAAATAAGGAAAGAAACAATAGAAAAAATAACAAAGGGCAAATACATAATCTGTTGGGAATGACAAATATTAAAACTTGTTGTTGTCCCACATCAGAAGAATAACCTTTGGGAAGTTGGTTTATAAGCATTGACTCAGTATTGGGCTTATAAACTTAGTGTGAGGCAAGTCAAGACCAAGGCCCACACGCGCGCCACCGCCACCGTCTGGCTCGAACTCAGAGGAATTGTTGGATGTGTAGATAGATGAACGTTGAAGGACACATGGGTGGCCAAAATAATTTTTGAATTTTTTTTTTCTAAAAATTCAATTCTATTTTGGGCCACCCCGTCACTATAAAAGGCTCACTCCCCTGCCATTTCATTTCATCCCATTCATCTCAATCTCCACGCTATTCCTTCACTTTTCCACCTCTTTCAACTATCTTAACTGAGCATGAGATTGATTCTACTCCCATTCCGACGAGTACACGTCTGAATTGGAGGTTGTGTTAACCTTGGGGAGCATACCGGCAGTAAAACGATTTAGCACCAAGGTCGTGCCGATTTTGCTTTCAAGGTAGTGGTTCCGCTCACGGCTCAACGTTTTTACCTCATGGTTCCAATTTTGTCCTTTATTTTCCAATATAATCTTACATCAAAGTAATGTAAGCAAAAGGTTCGAAAACTTAGGTTTTCAAAAGAGTGGCAAAATCAAACATGCCTCGGAAAAAAGACAACTTTTGCTAATATCCCAAAATTGATGTGGGTCTATTCGTATTACCCAAGTTAGTGAAGGGGTAAAGAGAGTAATTTGGCAAGTAAGGTGATGTGAGCAAAAGATTGCAAAACATAGATTTTAAAAAAGGGATAAATTTTAGGAGAACAACGGAGATAGCTATCTAAAATAGGCAATTTCAAAAGACGGCCAAACAACTTTAAGTTTTCAATAATGGCCAACGTAAAAATAGGAAAATCTCTATTAATTTTTTAGTTACGAAATTACTCTCCCTAAAATGATATTAAAATGAATATGTTATTTGCCTATATTTTTTTGTACCACATTTGTAGGATAATTCAAATATTTTCAAAATCTTACCTAACTTTTTCAAAATCTTACCTA